CTGCTCAGAAATCGAAGAGGCGTTTGCTTTCTCAAAAGTTGGGCTGCTTAGAGATCACGAGGGTTGATCTCAGAAATCGAAGAGCCGTTTGCTTTCTCAAAAGTTGGGCTGCTCAAAGACCACGAAGGCCGATCTCAGAAATCGAAGAGGCGCTCGCTTTCTCAAAAGCTGGGCTCCCTAGAGACCACGAGGGCCGATCTCAGAAATCGAAGAGGCACCTACTTTTCCAGCCTTGTCAGCACCTGTCACACGCACACTCAGCTTTGCAGAAATTATGGGCATTCTGTCAAAGACTTCTGGGGAAGTAGAAAACACATGAATCTTACTGTTCAATCACCCACTTCCCACACGCAACAATAGCTCATGGGTACCACAGATAACTTTGCCAAAGTTCTCTGCCAAAGTTGAGCACGTGAAGCTTGCAGCTCCCACTACATCGCTCTGACCAAGAAGGGTAAAAGAATAGCAAAGAAACAGCACTAACAAAGTTTAGACCCATAAATTTTGAAGGTCTAGCTACCATATTATTACCCACAAGGGTAAAGGAACAGTACCACTGCTGGATAATTGGAAAGTCCATGTATGTCAACCTCTGTGCTTCGTGGCAAGGTAGACTAGCAAACATGCCCAACCTTTACTCACATTCGAGAAAACACTCCCAATAAGATTGCTTGCTCCAAAATCGAAGAGGCACCGTCCTCCGAATCTAAAGAGCCAGACTCCTAACATGACTACTTTCTTAAAAATCGAAGAGCGGGTAAAGGAACAGTACCATTGCTGGATAATTGGAAAGTCCCTGTGTGTCAACCTCTGTGCTTCGTGGCAAGGTAGACTAACAAACATGTCCAACCTTTACTCACATTCGAGAAAACACTCCCAACAAGATTGCTTGCTCCAAAATCGAAGAGGCACCACCCTCCGAATCTCGAGAGCCATTCTCCCAACATGATTACTTTCTCAAAAATCGAAGAGACACTGCTCCCCGAATCTCGAGAGCCAGACCCCCAGCATGATTGCTTTCTCAAAAATCGGTGAGGCACCGTTCTCCGAATCAATCGAAGAGGCGCTCGCTTTCTCAAAAGCTGGGCTGCTCAGAGACCACGAGGGCCGATCTCAGAAATCGAAGAGGCACCTACTTTTCTAGCCTTGTCAGCACCTGTCACACGCACACTCAGCTTTGCAGAAATTATGGGCATTTTGTCGAAGACTTCTGGTGAAGTAGAAAGCACATGAATCTTACTGTTCAATCACCCACTTCCCACACGCAACAATAACTCATGGGTACCACATATCACTTTGCCAAAGTTCTCTGCCAAAGTTGAGCACGTGAAGCTTGCAGCTCCCACTACATCGCTCTGACCAAGAAAGGTAAAAGAATAGCAAAGAAACAGCACTAACAAAGTTTAGACACATAAATTTTGAAGGTCTAGCTACCATATTATTACCCACAAGGGTAAAGGAACAGTACCACTGCTGGATAATTGGAAAGTCCTTGTGTGTCAACCTCTGTGCTTCGTGGCAAGGTAGACTAGCAAACATGCCCAACCTTTACTCACATTCGAGAAAACAGTCCCAACAAGATTGCTTGCTCCAAAATCGAAGAGGCACCGTCTTCCGAATCTCGAGAGCCAGACTCCCAACATGACTACTTTCTCAAAATCGAAGAGAGGGTAAAGGAACAGTACCATTGCTGGATAATTGGAAAGTCCCTGTGTGTCAACCTTTGTGCTTCGTGGCAAGGTAGACTAGCAAACATGTCCAACCTTTACTCACATTCGAGACAACACTCCCAACAAGATTGCTTGCTCCAAAATCGAAGAGGCACCGCCTTCCGAATCTCGAGAGCCAGACTCCCAACATGATTACTTCCTCAAAAATCGAAGAGACACTGCTCTCCGAATCTCGAGAGTCAGACCCCCAGCATGATTGCTTTCTCAAAAATCGAAGAGGCATCGTTCTCCGAATCTTGAGAGCCAGATACCACAGACCACTTTTTCAAAGTGCTCTGACAGAGTTAAAACATGTGAAACTGGCAGCTCCCACTACCGTGCTATGACCAAGCAGGGTAAAGGAATAACATTACTACTTGTTGTTAGGGAGACTCCTATATATGTCGACCTCCATCCCCAACGGACAGGCAAACCTGCAAAAATGCTCAACCCTTCATCATATCTGAGAGGGCACTCCCAACAAAGCCTTTCGAAATATTCAGCTTTCTTTCCCCCCGATAATACCTCTGCAAACAAGCTATACTAGAGCAAGAATATCTCATATCATCAGGGTTAAAAGCAAGAGTATCCCATATCATGCTTTTTCCCTGTTTTTTCTTTTGGCCTTGTTTTTACCTGCAAGACAAGGAGAAAGAGAGCAATCAGTCAGTACTTGGAATCAAGCTTCCAGCCAGGAACTGACTGCCTGGAACCCCTTACCTGATTACTTACCTGGCATTGCTCTCGAGTACTCATCTTCATCATCTTATGTTTCCAGGGAAGATTCTGCATCTGCTTGAGGAACAGATAGGGCAAGTGCGAAGGATACAAGGAAGCATGTGGAGACAAGCGTAACAGCACACGTGCCGATACATCCATTACTCTGTCAAAAGCAAAAGTATCCCATATCAGCAGGGTGGAACGTACTCTAGATTTGATGGACTTGTTTTGACCCTCAAATTCTTCAGTCGGCCTTATACTCTGGAGGAAACCAGAAAACCCTCCAGCTCAGTTCAAGAATAAGCCTGTGGAAAGTTACTTCTTCAAAAGCAAAAGTATCTCATATCATTTCTTCTCATTTTTCTTCTCTTTATCCTTCATGCTGCTGCAAGATGGGGAGAAGGTGAACAATCAGTCGGAGCTCTAATTGCTTACCTTGTCTGTCACCTCTTTCAGCAGACCCCCTAGCTCGGCGACTTGGGGGACTCCTACTACATGGTTTGTATCGCGCTTGACCAAGCCTGAAACTACAAGTAAGCTTCAAGTGAAATTGATACATTACCTTGTGCATCTCCACCAGTTAAAGATACCACCCCTGGATGGAGGAAGAGTACTTCCAGAGAAGATGCCACATCTACCTATGAGACAGATAAGGCAAGTCAAGACGACACCACACTCCGATACTTAGAAGTTTCGTGATTACGAGATCATTATCCCACAATATTTCCTAATGTCATTTGTACTAAATCATTCACTCGTACTCACTAAAGGAGAGCTTGAACCTATGTACTTGTGTAAACCCTTCACAATTAATGAGAACTCTTCTATTCCGTGGGCGTAGCCAATCTGGGGTGAACCACGTACATCTTTGTGTTTGCTTTCCTATCTCTATCCATTTATATACTTATCCACACTAATGACCGGAGCAATCTAGCGAAGATCACAAAAAGCGACCGTTTTCGTTACCTAGGATCTATCTTGCAAGAGAACGGAGAATTAGATGGAGATCTCAACCATAGAATACGAGCTGGATGGAAAGAGTGCATCCGGCGTGTTGTGTGACCGTCGTAGGCCACTGAAGCTCAAGGGAAAATTTTATAGGACGGCAATAAGGCCAGCGATGTTGTATGGCAGAGAATGTTGGGTGGTGAAGCATCAACACGTACACAAAATGGGTGTAGCGGAGATGAGGATGCTTCGTGGGATGTGTGGGCACACGAGAAAGGATAAGATTGGGAATGAGGATATCCGAGGTAAAGTAGGAGTAGCCGAAATTGTAGGAAAGATGAGAGAAAATCGGCTCTGGTGATTTGGACATGTGCAAAGAAGGCCGACTGACGCTCCGGTTCGAAGATGTGACTACGGGACAGAGGTTCAGGGCCGAAGGGGTAGAGGAAGACCTAGGAAAACTTTGGAAGAGACTCTAAGAAAAGACTTAGAGTACTTGGATCTAACGGAGGGCATGACACAAAACCGAGCGCAATGGCGTTCTAGGATTCATATAGCCGACCCCACTTAGTGGGAAAAGGCTTTGTTGTTGTTGTTGTTGTTGCTTGTTTATGGCTCTGTTTGTGAGGCCTTGTGTATGTAATCTGTGTATTTAGCGTTAATAAAATCTTCCTTGAACCAAAAAAAGAAGAGAAAAAAAAAGACGACCTGGTTCGCACCATTGCTCAACCTTTAACCTCTACTTTACTGGAACCCATTTTCTAGGGATTTCGGGAATTTCCCTTATACCGTTAAACACCTTCTTTACCAACAAAATGCAAGATCCCAATCATTTTGTATGTCATCAAAGGGGATGTCATATAAGCAAGAGAGTTGTAATGTTGGCATATGGTGCTCTTTTTATTTTTCATACAATGATAGCGAGAGGAGCAAGTTTTGGCTAAGCCAAATAACGTGTTACTTGTAATTAGATATTAAACTCGTTATTCATATGAATCGGAATCCAGGCATTTCAATTGTAAAATTTTGCAAATAGTTTGTAGATACTCATGAAAATCTTAATTAACAACTGACAAGAGAAAACAAAAATTAAAATTAATTCTTCATATTAAAATTTTAAATTTTGCAAAGAGTTTGTAGCCCAATCAATTAAGAAAGAGCGTGTATCTTTATACCTGAAATCTCTACATCGAATCCTTCCCCTCTAATGTTTGCTTTTATAAAAATATAATTAATAATAACCTGAATACTAAAACATCCGAGTGTAGTCTAGATCCGAGAGACAAGATGAAATCGAAACGTTCACTATCCTTTGTTGAACACATTGATAAGAGTAATGATGTAAAGGGCAAAAGAAAGATGAGCAATTAACTTTTGGCTCTACAAAGGATAGAGGCATGAAAATTAGTATACATGTATTCTGAGCATGCTAAAAAATTTCTCAGAGACTTGAAACTAGCAGAGTCCATCAAAGGGCGGCGATGCCCAAATCACGGGTGGTATGTTCCCTTGCAATCTTGAATCTAGAGAGTAATGTTGTGTGATGGTTCCGTCCTCTAAGTTATAGATACCCATATCATCACTTGGTCTTGTTCCATCAGATGTTTTAAACCTGCCAAATGATGGTGCTAGATCGTACGTCCGTGAAGTATATGGAGTTCGGCCGGCATGTAGGTATGTTGGAGGCCAAAATAGAGAGTGAGTGATTGTCGCCCACAAATAGTCTCGTCTCCGATGCTTTTTACCTCAACGTAGTCTGCAATCAGGAGGTGGATTGTCAGCCCTCCCATTTCCATACTTTTCACATCATTTCATGTTTGTGTAGTCACGGTTAAGCCACGTCAACATTTTATATTGATAAAAAGTAATAGGAATATAAAATGTTGACGTGACTTAACCGTAACCATACAAACAGGAGGAGATAGGAAAGGTATGGAAATGGGTGGGCAGACAATCCACCTCCCTGCAATTGTTCCGTCTTGGTGGTTGAACACACACTTGTAAACCTTGGTGGTTGAACACACACTTGTGAACCCTGAAGCCTGCAGTACGAAATTACTTGCTCTTGGTGGGACCATCTTTGGTTGCAAGTCTTCGGACGTACAATAGTACAACAAACTGAACTACAAAACCCCAACCAGTCTACAAAGGCGGAAATCTCTCTCCTCGCCGGAATGCCCAACCGGCAGTCATTCGTCCCGCCGGAGGCAACCTCTCTCCTCGCCACCGTAAAATCTCTCCTCACATCGGATTGGGATGTCGAGTCCGAATACAGAAGCTATGAAGGGTTATTATTGTTTGTGTTTCACTTTCAAAGACTTGAGGGAGAGGAAGACGGCACCAGCTGTCATCCGAACCATCACTTTACTCATAGTAAGTGCCACAAGGTCTGATGAAGTGTACACAATTTCAGGCAAAATTAGGTTTCCTCCCTCCCAAGCTAGAGCAACATCAATATTTAATTTCTTGGCACGACGATCTTGTAGTGCTATTTGGATCAGCCTCGTGATTTCTTCAGCCCTCGTCCACTCCTCACTAACCAAACTAAACTCTCGTAATTGTGTTGTCGTTGCCGCTGGATGGCTGAGAAGACCTTGCATCCTGGCATAGAAGGCAGGATGTAAGGTCTTCTCAGCCTAAAATACGATTAGATGCTAGGTCTTCTCAGCCTGAAATGCGTCGGATGGCGACATGATGCATCGTCGTCTTAGCCATCCGGCAGCAGCGGCAACACAATTACAAGAGTTTAGTTTGGGTTGTGAGGAGTGGATGAGGGCTAAAGAAATCACGAGGTTGATCCAGATAGCACTACAGGATCATCATGCCAAGAAATTAAATATTGATGTTGCTCCAGCTTGGAAGGGAGGAAACCTAATTTTACCTGAAATTGTGTACACTTCACCAGATCTTATGGCACTCACTATGAGTAAAGTGATGGTTCAAATGCCAGCTGGTGCCGTCTTCCTCTCTCTCAAGTCTTTGAAAGTGGATATAACCCACCTATCAGATCCATCCCAGCAGAATTTCTACCATAGGTGTCGGACACTGAGTGAAGGGATGATAGACAAATTTCCAGATGTTAAGTGGCATTTCAGGGTGAGCTCAGAAAGTTTGAAAGTCTTTTCGTTGAGGCTCCATTCAGATTTCAACTATGAAATGTACTATGACGTGGGCCTGGATATATTCAAATGTAGTATTAGGGCACCTAAAGTGAAGCATCTGGTATTAGACGAAAACATGGTTTGTTTTGCTTCCAACATAAGCTTAATTTTTGCGCTATGAGACAACAGCAGAGATACATGTTAACAAATTCTGGCCTATTTGAAATCTAACGGTCACATTGCCGAAGAGAGTAAAAACAGATAATTACGACTTTAATTCCCAAAGAATACTTACACCGGCTTGAAGAAAGTCAGAGTCACTTTTTAAACCTATCATCTTTGCAATTTGAAGAGAATAATCCTTGACACCATCAAAAATCAGACCATCGTCAGAGTGAAGGGCAATTTGTTTTTCTTCTAGTAGCATCAACCTGAATATTTTTATCAAGAAGTTAAAGAATAATTATGTACCGAAATAAATATTCACTCACAGCGAAAAACGAAAAACAACATGGAAACTAATTCAATTTGTACACAGTTGAAAAACGTAAATGTTTTAAATCACTGGCATTGAGTCATCACTTATTTAAAGGCGGTCAAATATATAACTTTAACTGGGAAGAACCTTTTGGTCATGATTCCAGACGAAAGAAATTGGTCTTTGGTTATCTTCACATTTCCACTCCATATCACATCCCTACCAGCTGGCCACCTCAGGGGGATCTTATAATCCTTAGGAGGGCGAACTAGACACCGTTCTCTGTTTCTTGATACTTCACAATGCCGATCAAACTCCTCCCCATCTTTAAACCCAGCTAAAAGGTTTGCCGAAACATTGTAACAAGGCACATGACTTTCTCTTTCTTTGCTACAAAGACCAAGCTCTCTTTGTCGACTAGCCCCCAATGAAAGAGACCTCAGCTCCAGATAATCAACCGCCGCTTGCTCCTTTAGCCTCCTATAGTTTGTATATATGTCGGGTACTGAAGTGGTAGTTAAAGAGTCAAATGTATGAGAAGAAGATGATCCCAGCACTGCAATTAGTGCGAGTACACTAACAACACACAAGAGTAACCAACTGAGTGGCGGTCTAGGGCCAAAAATGAGGGAGAGTTTACTGAACCAGGAGCTTCTCATGTCCAAGTAGTGAAAACCTGACTTGAGAATTCCAAAATAGCCCCCACTAGATCACCAAGTACTTAAATCCCCACATAGATTTACTTTCTCAATTTAAAATGCCACTCATTTTTTGTGCAACTCTGCAGAACCAAACTCATAAACCCATAAGCAGTTATTGATTCTGCCCAACTACATTATGTGCATTTCCGAAGTAGTTAACTCGTTCTTACGTATTCAACTTAATTAAGGATTGCAATCCTTACCAATACTCAAGAAGATACGAAAACTTTAATAGCAGAAAAATATGCCCAGTGAATGAGATGTAGCATACTCATATGAATAAATCAATCCACATATATATAATGTGTGTGTGTATATATATGTATATATTTATATATCACGCACACTTTGGTCGAATGGGAATGAATTTCCAGGCAACCATTATATTTCATTTCTATGCCTATGACTTGCGATAAGTATAGGACATAAATATTTATTATTGATCTTTGAAATTAAAAAATTTATCCATAAGACAAATCACACAAGTCATGCAATTCATGCTTTCGAGATAACTTGCAGACACATATAGACGTAAGCATGCATTTATCATAATTTTTTGGCTAAATTCTCTAAATCTCTCATGAAATCAGGATGTTGTTCATGATCAAAATGAACACAAACAGCATTTACGAATTTTCATAATTCTCACCAAAAGGATCGGAGAGGATCCTTAACATTAAAAGCATCATATTACTATAATATGATCCATAAGGCATGAGTAATTTTTTGCTCAGGAATGTGACCTTAACATTAAAAGCATCATATTTTTGCACAAAGTATCAATCATGATTGCAAATAACAATTATGATTTTGTTGAACAAATGTGTTGCATTCTAAAATGACGTCTAAAATTAGCAACAGGTAATATACTATTTGGGACAAAGTAATCTTAAAGGACATCCTTACCTCATCCCTCCCTAATTCTATTGAGGTTCGGGAACGACTGGATCCGGATATTAGCTCCACAGCTTGATTGGGGGTTTAAGAATTCTTATTAGTTTTGACAGTTTAAAAAAATCAGAAACGATTTAACAGTTTGAAAACAAAATGGGGTGGCTCGAAATGCAAGAATCGATCAGACAAAAAAGAAGGAAAATTTTCAAGAAACGACCAGAGAAGGCACCAAATTTGAGCTGGTAAGAGTGTACTAGCCTTAGGTTGCATTTAATTTAGAGCAAGTCCACCCCTAAGGACTTTGTGCCAGCACCCAGCGCATTTATCCACTCAAGTGAACAGTAATAGACCCCAGTGAACAGTAACAGACCAAAGCATCTCCATCCCTAAAAAAATGCGCTGGCACCCAGCGCATTTATTTGGTGTGTTTTTTTTTTTTTTTTAAGTTTATTTCAGATATGATTTTTAACCAATTTTGGATAAAATTTCAAATAAACTTAAAAAAAAACACATTGAAATAAAATTACATACTCATCAAATAAACTTAAAAAAAAAAACACTAAAATAAAATTACATAAACTCATCAGATAAACTATAGAAAGAAAAAAATAATTTTTTTTTTAAATTTTCTGTATTTTTTAATAATTTTTCTGTATTTTTTAATAAATTTTAATTAAGTTAATTAATCTGGACCGTTGATCTTTGATCGGACGGTTCAGTTTAAAAGTAAAATTTACATTTTTTTACCGTTGGAAATCCAACGGTCTAGAAAAACTAGCCGTTGGAAATCCAACGGCTATCATAACGCCACGTCGCTGAGCCCAAGTGGGCTGACACATTTTCAGGAAAGCCTGAAACCCACTCGCGCCTTGCGCACTTGTGTTGCACGCGCCTGAGAAACAGGCCAGCTTCTTGGTCAGTCCAAAACGTGCTGGGCTGTTGCCTGGCATGGGCTGGGTGCCAGGCAACTCCACGGGCTGGAGCAAATGGACTGAGGGCCAGCTTGTTTTTTGGACTGAGGGCTGGGACATTTTTTTCCCAGTGGACTTTTTTTACTCAACATAAAAAAGATGGGACAAAGATTGTCTACCCTCTTTGTTTTTATGCCCTCCTGTTTTGAGTGTACAAGCCTTAGGTTGCATTCAACTTACTCAACATAAAAAAGATGGGACAAGGATTGTCTACCCTCCTTGTTCTTGTGCTCTCCCATGCCCTCCTGTTTTGTGTGGTCACGGTTAAGCCACGTCAACATTTTATATTGTTTTTTTATAGAGATAATAAAACAAAAATGAATAGTAATATAAAATGTTGACGTGGTTTAACCGTGACCTCACAAACAGAAAAGTATGGGAGGGCACGGAAACAAAGAGGGCAGACAATCCTTGTCCAAAAAGATGATGGGTTAAGGACAAGATACTTGATTTTGATTACTTGGTAAATTTGAAGTTACTTATGGCTAACAATCGTGGGTGGACTGTTTTACCTTACTCCATGCAGCGTTACACTAAATAAAAAAGACTCTTATTGGAAAGGATGAGTTGAATTGAAAAAAGTAGTTCTTCGTTAATAATTCTCTTATCTGTTTTGTTTTCCTCAATTTTCAGGCTGTAATGGATGCTGTTGAACGAGGAAGCCTTTGCATGGTCCTCCAAGGATGAGCCGGAAGAATTCATCCATTCTAGATAATAGTCGTCTGATGCAAATCTGAAACATGAAGAACAACTTTGTTATCTTTTGGAAAAACACTAATAATTTTCTTTCGAAACTAGTTATGTATTTCAAGTTTTAAACATCTATTGGTACCTGGATTGGATTCAATTTCTTCCATCTTGTTGTGCCATTGTAGTTTGGTAATTTGAGGGTTTGAAGTAAGTATGCAGGAAAAAAACAAAGAAGGAAAAAAAGATGAAAGTGAAAGAGATAAGAGATCTCATTTTTATAGTGAGAGGTTAAAAATTTAGATAACAATTCAATGGATGAGATTGAGATAAGAAAATCTAAATCCAATGGTTGTAAAGAGTTGAAATCTTATCTGGATCAGAAATAATTGATCATAACATAGGCATGACAAGAGTCATGATATAGGCATGACAAGAGTCATGATATAGGCATGACCAGAGTCATGATACTCATTCTACTTACGTTTTTGTGAAGGAAAAAATTTGGTGTCATAATTTGATTTTTTTTTTCGTTAAAATGTTCACAAAATATTTTACGACAACGTAATGTAAAACTAATAAAAAAAAATCAACACAAACAAAAAATTTACACATAATTAAATTATCACATAAAATGGTAAAAACCTCAAATTTAAAAATTATAATATAAGAACTCTCCCAGGCAATATTTCCTTAGGGACACAAAGATTTCCTTTGAGTTCCTAAATGAATCCTCAAAGATGGTGGTGAGAGTCCCTATTTAGAGACTTTAATTGGAGATGCTTTTTAGGTTTACTTGGTACCTTCCTTTGGGTGACTCTACATACACATGACACTTAATATTACGGTCTAAAAGTATTCCTCTTCACTAATGAATGATAAGTCTTATGTTTACTTCTCATCAAAGACAAATTCAAACCACATTATTGCTAGCCCATTATAAAACTTAGCTCACCTCCCACCCCTCTTCTTGGTGTAGATAATAACGTTTGTCCAAAAAAAAAAAAAACGTAAACATGCCTTTATTTTAAGGACCGAATTGAAACTTGAGTCAGTGTTCGGGGACTAATAGTCCAAATTCCCCTAAAACCATTAACAAATTGCTTCCTGTATTTTCCAACTCAGCATCTTTTATGATCACACGAAAATGTATGTGTCCAGACTCTTAATTTTGGACACAGCAAGGATTTGTTCTTACAAATATTAAAATGAATAAACAAATAATGTTCAGACCAAAAAAAAAATTTTGCACGAAGAAAAAAAACATGGACGAATGAATTGCTACAGACGCCTTGACAAAAAATATACGAGTTGCAGCTACTTGTGTGTGAAACATTCTAATCTACAGCTTCCACGTACGCTCACTCCAGTAATGACTCATGATCGCCTTCGAGGTTCTTCGGATTCTGATCACGAGTCACATTTTCTTCCCAGATCACAATCTGCTAATGAAAATGAACACAAAAAGGACAGTTAATTCAAGATTTACCCAAACTCCACATCGCTCCTCGCTCCTTGCAAGTCGAGGTCACAGCCACCTGCCTACCGTTTTAAACCTCCTACGTCCTAGGGCTGATAACTTATTGCAACTAAATCAGGCGACTGGACTCCGTTGAATAATCGAAACTTGATTCTCGAGAGATGAGAGAAATTACCGGAGCTGAAGGAGGAAAAACAATTGTACACGTCCGCAATGATGATGGCTCCTAAAGTAAAATAATCATTTTTTTACGAACGGTTTTTGGCAAACAAGTAGTCGTTGATCACTCCCATTCTCAAGGTCAATCACCCTTGCTTCCCAACGTATTTGTGTAGCAAACATGCGCGCCATCTCTATAGCTCCCTTTTTATCACAGAGAACAACCCATCCCTGCCAAACAGTCATAAATTCATGTCCCCAAATGATCAATTTCACACATAACGTGGAAATATTAAAGGTCAGCAATATAAGCAAAAGAGGGAAATCAAAATACCTCAGGTCGCAGAATCCGGTCCATCTCCAAGAATAAGTCCATCATGCCGCACCTCTCTGAAGAGAGATGTGAGAGCAGCCCATCTGCATGCAGCAAATCATATGTTCGAGGATATGTCGGGAATGGTTCACACCTGTACCAAAAGCTCAAATGGATCACAACTACTGACTCTACTCAAGAAAATAGGATATAAAGAGCATAAATGAGTCCTATTTTTTTTACATTCAAAGTTTGTCAGCCATACTTAAGAGTTAACCATTCTTAACTTTATTTTTCCCCCGTAAAAACAGTGCATTTGAATTATGCAGAAAAGATCTTCTAATATCAACTTAGGTGAAGAGATTGAAACCGACTTACCAGTCATGCAAAACACCAGCAAAACCTTGATCTAGAATGAGAGGAAGTGTGTAGGGAGCATTGACAGGCACGACATTCATCACCCACACTGATTTTCTTTCCTCCAGAAAAGCAGCATTTAAACCCCCATAATGAGCACTCATGTCCATCACATTGCGTAGCATGTTGAATGGAGGTAATGGGTCTTCATCGCCTGGTCTCTTTGGGTGGTCAGAGAAAATCAAGGGTGTAAGCAAAGACCAATAGTTTTTCAGAGCTGATCTCCAAACCCGTAAGTCTTCAAAGAAATCTTCAGGCTGAACTCCTGCAAGGGTAAAAGAGTATCAATATGCTGGCAGAACACCATGAAGTGAAGTGTAGAACTGAATGATGATGCAACAAAACTTTCCATGAACTTCAAGCTCAGCCGAGCTCAATCGATGGGGACTAGAGGACCTATTTCGAATTGGAGCCCAGCGTTTGCTGGTGGTCCCACTTATACATGATACGAGAGGCTTATAATATGATCGAACGTCATGCCCTTCATTACAAACTGGTAGAGCACCCTGCTTACTACAATAAAGAATAAATAGCAAAGCATCAGTAAGGTTCTTTTGCAGTGGAAAAGAAATAAACGGAGCTCTTGAAATACTCTAGCTCAATGGCGCAAGTCAATACTAAAGCCTTAAACAGTACTGATTATCACATGTCAAACGAGATAATTATTCACAAGAGACCCTCACCGAGATGCATAGCAATCAGAATCCACAGTTTTCTGCCAGATAAAAGTTTCATATTGCTGAGCTTTTAGAGTCCAACAGACTTTCGGGGTCAATTCCTCCATTGTTGTGAACATGCTATTCTTCATGCTCAATGAACTTCCATATGGTTGGCTTGTCAATGAGGTTACAACAAAGTAGCCTCCGGGCTTGAGTACCCGGTCAACTTCTAAAAGCAACATCGAATCTGATTCATGAATTAATTAAGGTTCCATGAGAGGAATTATATTTGGAAAAAAGCAAAGGACAATTCCGAAGAAAGAAATATGCTCAATGGAAATCCCAATTACCTTTTTTGTCCCAAACAATACCGCACTGAGCACAATGAACCATTTCAAATGACAATGCTGGGTAAGGAAGCTGTCTTGTAATGAAGTTTCCAATCATTGCTGGAAGACCTCTCTCAAGGGTCAACTGAACTTGACTGCCAGTTGCCTCATAGGCCGCAATACAAATAGCCATTACATTCAGTGATACTAAATGAGCTCCGAAACTACCAAAACCACAACCAATATCCAGTACAGTTTGCACCTGTAGTTTAAAGTAGATATATTAAAATAAATCACGCAACAGTCGGACTTTACATTGTCACCAACAAGAAGCAAAAGTAGCATGGTTTTTTTTGCTTCCAACATAAGCTTAATTTTTGCGCTATGAGACAACAGCAGAGATACGTGTTAACAAATTCTGGCCTATTTGAAATCTAACAGTCACACTGCCGAAGAGAGTAAAAACTGATAATTACGACTTTAATTCCCAAAGAATACTTACACCGGCTTGAAGAAAGTCAGAGTCACTTTTTAAACCTATCATCTTTGCAATTTGAAGAGAATAATCCTTGACACCATCAAAAATCAGACCATCGTCAGAGTGAAAGGCAATTTGATTTTCTTCTAGTAGCATCAACCTGAATATTTTTATCAAGAAGTTAAAGAATAATTATGTACAGAAATAAATATTCACTCACAGCGAAAAACAAAAAACAACATAGAAACTAATTCAATTTGTACACAGTTTAAAAACGTAAATGTTTTAAATCACTGGCGTTGAGTCATCACTTATTTAAAAGCGGTCAAATATATAACTTTAACTGGGAAGAACCTTTTGGTCATGCTTCCAGACGAAAGAAATTGGTCTTTGGTTATCTTCACATTTCCACTCCATATCACATCCCTACCAGCTGGCCACCTAAGGGGGATCTTATAATCCTTAGGAGGGCGAACTAGACACCGTTCTCTGTTTCTTGATACTTCACAATGCCGATCAAACTCCTCCCCATCTTTAAACCCAGCTAAAAGGTTTGCTGAAACATTGTAACAAGGCACGTGATTTTCTCTTTCTTTGCTACAAAGACCAAGCTCTCTTTGTCGACTAGCCCCCAATGAAAGAGACCTCAGCTCCAGATAATCAACCGCCGCTTGCTCCTTTAGCCTCCTATAGTTTGTATATATGTCGGGTACTGAAGTGGTAGTTAAAGAGTCAAATGTATGAGAAGAAGATGATCCCAGCACTGCAATTAGTGCGAGTACACTAACAACACACAAGAGTAACCAACTGAGCAGCGGTCTAGGGCCAAAAATGAGGGAGAGTTTACTGAACCAGGAGCTTCTCATGTCCAAGTAGTGAAAACCTGACTTAAGAATTCCAAAATAGCCCCCACTAGATCACCAAGCACTTAAATCTCCAAGAACAGCGAAAATCATAACCTATCATAACATACAAGCTTCTAAATATATTGCCGTGAATCCGGACAATTCCTACAAGCATTGAAACAATAAATTCCACTTCTTCCACAACAACATACACAAATCTTTGCTTTCTGATCGCGCCAAGAGACTCATAAATCAGTCTGTAAATCCTTAGTAATCCTTACTTGGACACAAAGTTAAGATCACAACCCAACACAATTCAGTACTCAATTACGAATCAGTAAAATTCTAAAACTTCCCACAGCGAATTTAAAGCCAAATTCGGAAAGAAACGGACAATGACAAGTGTTGAGCAAAAGACCAACCTGCAACAAAATCCAAAGATCCACAAAATTAGATTCCTAACAATAAAGTCCCAAATCAAAAATCTCCATTTGGGTGCTGAGAAAACTACCAGTAAATATCACAACAGAATCCACTGACAAGATTCCAAATTCACTTCTCAATTTTCCACCCTTTTCCCAGCAACCAAACAGAGCATTAGCTCAATAATAAATGCCATGACTTTCCATTTTTACAAATCACTGCCCAAATCCCAGATCCCGAAATGGAAATCCAAAACCTTTCAATCCGATCCAATCAAAAGCAAAATCAAACCAATCATCCAACACATGAACAAAAAAGCAATAAAATCCAAAAAAGACATCGAATTTAATAACAAAAACAGAAACCCACTTCCGAAAACTGATAATTACTAGGGTTTTGGGGGAATGCTTACCGGTTTTTGGGTTCGTTGGAGAGTGGAGATTCAAAGCCTCAAAACAGAGAAAGAGTCTAGCTTTTAATGTGAGTCCAAATTTATAGGAATTCTAGTTATTTTTGAGCTTTTTTTGTTTTTTATTTTTGTTTGTGTTCGTGATGTCGATCACCAGATCCAGAGGCTCGTTGATTTAGACAGAAAAAAAAATCATTAAATTAATTAATTGGGAATCATTGTTATTTACCGCTTCTTGCACTTTTTGTTAAATTATTTATAATTAATTTTTTAGTTTTTGGTTGTATTATGTTTTCGCCATGACGTATGCAAACACTACAACTAAGCGTCGAGATATAAATAGAATAGAATCGACGGCTGTGATTTAGCCGTCATTGGCAACCGGATTCATTAGTTTTTCTATTGATGATTAATTAGTTTTAATCACTGTTTTTAGTACTAATCATAATCCATTTGGTTAATTACTGTCCATCAGAAGATAATCCTCTCCAATAATTCCAGTTTGTATACTATTTATTTCAAGCACGTCGCTGTCAAAATGTTTCCGGACTTCTTTTTTCTTTTTCTTTTCACTTTTCCTTTTCATTTCCGGAAGAATAAAGAAATGTACACGTCACATCTGTTTGGTGCAGTGCAAACATGGAAACGGTTGCGTTTTGGGAAGGAACTGGATCTCCTTCGGATCCATATATACTGAGTCTGCTGAACAGATGATTCGGGTCGTAGAAATTTGATCAAACGGTTACAATTATTATAACTTTTAGACGCTCCCTATTTGTAGCCGTTGAATCAAATTCCAACGATTCAGATCACCTGCTCAGCATACTCAATTTTATTTGATCCAGAGGGGCTCCGGTTCCTTTTGGGAACCAACCAAATCCCTTCACAAAATTTCAACATGTCGTTTTCCCCCAAAAAAAAAAAATTGCAAAACCAATTATGGTCCAAACCAACCCTTAATTAGATTGAAGGTAAAAGTTATGAACTGGTTTTTTTATAAAAGTAAAATAAAAGGGAACTTTAATTAAAAGCTCTTGGGATTGTTCACTTTAACGAAAAACCATATTTTTACTCTAAAAAATCAATCATGGTACTATTCACTTACAACATATTTTTGTTATTTTCGTTAAAATTCAAAATTTTCATTTCATTAGTTTTCCTAAAATAAAATGATGAAATGGGAAGGTGATAGCTGGTAATGAACTTTAATGGTTACCATCATTTACTTAATAAAATAAAAACTTCTGCTTTCAGTATAATCGAAGAGAAAAGTATTTCTAGTAATAATGGGTAATAATCTATCTCAAATATAAGAATCATGAATGGAATATCCACGCTAGTAATGATATGAGCAAAAACATTCGCTTCCCGAAAGACATGAATTCAAGATATAAAAAAATCGTAAAAGTAATCAAATGTCCTCAATAATAAGACTTATATGATAATGCTTTTAAAATTATTAAAAACGTTTTTGATGAAAATATTTTTTAAACCAATCCTTATTAGAGAGAAGATTCTTGCTCAAAAGAGAAATTGGCAGCTTTTAATTCCATAACCTCTAAACATGTGGCTCTTAGGCTTATTCTCTGTCTGTATAATAATGCAGAATTTCAGACAATTTCAATCCCTTAATATTCTTGAAACATCTTACCAGTAACTACTTATAAGTTAAAAGCAAAATCGATCTGCTCGAATTCGAGGCAGGCTAAGAATCCGTCTGCAGATTTCGAAGCCATGCCGTTTCCATCAAGTTATTAACTACGAAACACAACGTGACAATACTAAGAATGACATTGCAAGTACGAAAAAGAACAGCTTCCGAATAGTACATTGTTGGATTTGTAGTTCAGTGTGGTGAATAAGTGACATTGGTATAAGTCTAGGCAAACACAGTACCAGTTCCCGTCGGTTGAAGCAGGAATGATTCGTCGATGTTTGCTAGCAGGAAGCTGGCGCAAACTAGACTGGTGGTACAAAGATAACTAAGGAAACCTCCCGAAAACTTTAACATCATCCTTGCTTTCCTCCTTCAAGCAGTTTCCAGTTCCCTGTTCAAGTAATCAACAAACATCCTCTTTGCACTGTCTGCATCAGAAGGTGGAGGTCGCCCACTTAAACTCGTTTGCCCTGTCAATTTTATGAAAGTTCGCCTCAACCTACGAAGCTCTGGAAGCCCAACTGATCTTGAAATATTGATAGGTGGCAACCCCTGAGCAACAGAAACTCCATTTAGAGGCCCTCCAAGTGCTTGCGATTGTGCTTCCACTATAGCACTGATCACCTCCTGCGTTGCTCTGTCCAATTCATACAGAGAATTTGCCTCGGAAAAACGTGTGTTCTGTGTTGCAATAGTTGGCTGCAAAGTTTTAACATCCCGTGACTTTGCGTCTGCCTTCTTTGTCAAATACGAAACAGCATCTAGAATGGCAGCAGAAGTTTTTTCTATTCCCTCTTTATGTGGCCACAACTCAAACATCGGGGAATCCCACCGATTTCTTCTCTCCGGTGTCTCAAACCTTCTCACCAAATCTTCAAATATCTTATCACTATAAGCAGCTTCTCCCTTCTCCCTGCGCTCTTCATTCCATTTTCTGCAATGGGTTTCGTCAGCATCGCAAAATAAAACACAGTATCTGATTCCTGCTGCACGAGCCAAACACCACAATTCATACCTGTAACCCTTGATGCTATTCAAAGAATCCACAATTATGACACTGTCTTTTGACACTGATCGATCGACTTCAGATCTTAGCACTCCTCTTAAATTCTTCTCTGCAGGCATATTGGCATAGCTTTCATTACGGTCAAGATGAAAGGAAGTCTCGTCAATAACCCTAACTATTTGGTTCAATCCTGATTCCTTGAGAGCCACGGCCAGGCAGAGCGCAGCCTTCGACTTCCCACTGCATGGTTGTCCACAAATCACAACCAATGCCATTTGCAGAAGAGTATACTTTCGTCTAATGACACAAAATAAATCCCAACTTCTCGAAATCCAGAAGAAACTCTTCAAATTCCAATAGAAGCTACTTCACATACACAGTGTTAACGATTAGTACGAAAGAAATACTTCATCAATTACAATTACCATCGTTCTATAATCCCATTCCAACAAACAAAGATACAAACCATATCTGAAAAGATATCAGATTCCATTCAGATGTGAGGAAATTTTCGTTACAATATTTCCGTTGTATTGAAATTACGATTCATTCGGCACTCTCGGAGCTGGTAACGAACACCAATTCAGAAAATGACATGAATTCAAAACCAAAACTACGAAAATTTTCAAATTCTCAACAGGTATTCAAACAGAGCCTCCCACTATGCAGACCGAGAACCTTAATTAATTGATGATACAGCGAACATACAAGAACTCTATGCAGAAATCGATACGAGTAACAACGAGAAAAAACACCAAAAGCTAAAGAATCGATAAAATTAACATGATTAAAACGAGATTAAGCGATTAATTAACGAAGAAAACGAGAAGTACAGAGCTTGAGAAGTACCTGTTCGACGAGAAGAGGAAGACGATTTCAGCTGGAACTGGAAGGAGGAATCGAAACTCATACAGAACACAAAGAGTAAAGCCGCTCTGCTACAGCCAAGAAGAGGAAGAAGGGTTTCGGGGGAAAATGGCAAAACGACGTCGCTGGGGGATAGTAAACATTTTAAACAATTATTCGGATTGTGCCCCAATTTCGCCAACTCATACCCGACCCGGCGGATTTGGCGGCGGTTTATTTTTAAGAATTTTAACGAAAAGCTTCCGTATTATTTATTTTAAAGAAAAATCATATTGTTACACTAAAAAGTTAATTTTGATATTATTCACTTTACTTTTATTTTGTTTTTATTGTTAAAACTCAAAATTTTCAAACTATTTTTATTAATTTTCTTTTTATTTTTTTATTCACTGCGAGTCCCCGTTACTTGGACACCAAGATTCGCGTGGGCCGATGGGATAAGTCATCGTAACAGTTCATACGTATCTCGTGAAATTATAAATGCAAATAAATGCCGTCGTCTTCTTTCAAACTTCTACCACTATAAAACCCTACCCACGCCAATCGCAATCGCATTTCTCCTCCTCTCTCCGTCTCTGGTTTTCGGCTCCGACTTGTCGAAATCCCGGTAAGTTTTTCGTCTCTGTTTGCTTTTGGAATTATCTTTCAGTGTTTTCATGGTCTCGTCCGGCCTCACAATTCTCCCATTTGGTTTAGAAAAATTACCTATGCAGTGTGAAGGAGAGATTCTTGTGTCGCAATGGCCTTATAGGGAGATTGAGATTCATTCAAAATCTCTGTGTCCGTCTATGTCCGGACTTCGCACAATGAGAGATCCGGATTACTCAATTTCAATTTTACGGGCTCTTTAGTCCATCTCACTAGTCCACTTCACAAAAACCCAAAAACTTGAACAACCCGAATCTTTTTATCTCTTGAACATTTAAGATTTCTCGAAACTCCAGACACAAGATCTAGAGTGAATCCCATTTCCTTATAGGGCACCACTACCACACCAATCCCATTTCCTTTAGGGCACCACTACCACACATGAGGGGAGTGGGACCGGAGGGAGGGTAGGATCAAAATACACGTATTGAGTTAGAATATGTCTCACCCGACCTCACCTTCGTCTCGCCTTAGTCGTTTTCATGAAAGATTCTTCTATTCTATATAGGACATAAAATGTGAGACTAGAGACTAGAGAGGATGGAGGGGACCAAATCACTAGAGCTTGAGTATTTTGTATGATCCACACCCGAGATTTTCATGCCCGTCCGCACTCAAAAATTTCTCCTATTCGATATGGTTTTGATTATTATGTTTGTGGCTTTGCATTATGAATCGAGTCTTGTGACCTTTTTTGTCTTAGCTAACTTTTAATTCAAACCAAAATCTACAAATAAGGTAATAAGATCCAGAAAAATTTGGGATAGGTGATTCGTATCTGTAAGAACAGTAAAAGCTCTAAGTTCTACGTGTATTAGGGTTGCACGTGCTAGAATTCAATACGTATTCCTGTTTTGATTACTTTATCTTCCCTAAATAAGAATACGTATTGAATTCTAGCACGTGCAACCCTAATACATGTGAACTCAGAGCTTTTACTGTTCTTACAGATACGAATCACTTATCCCAAATTTTTCCCCAATTTTTCCCCATATATATATATATATGCGCGCGCGCGCGTATAGGTTCACAAAAACAAAGGTTTATCCCACAAGTCGAGAGCTCAAATCTCAAACTGTGACAGAAAACATCAACTGCATCATTGTCCATGTCTTCCTCCATGGCATCCTCAGCTTCCCAATCTGCTGATGAAAACGAGGGGTTTGATCTGTTGAAGTGTTCGACCGTCCAAGAGGGCATGAAAGATGCGGAGATCAGGTTACCGTTAGGGTATCGATTTGATCCCACCGGAGATGAGATTCTTGTGTACTATCTGTTTAACAAGATTATGGACCGCGCGATGCCTACCTACGATCTTATAAAAGAGGTTGATGTGTACGAGTGTGATCCGAATCAGCTGCCGAATGGTGAGTTTCAATTTGATTGGTGTTTTATGCAGCTAGTGAGTTCGGTCCATGTTTAGGTTCAAATTTGATTGCTTTATCGTTCTGTGACTCGCAGGTGACTTCAGACATACTGCCGATTTCAATGCTGCCTATTACTTCGCCAATAGAGAACCCTTCGACGCTCGTGAAGCCAAGATAATTAAGACGGCTACAGATGGTGGTTACTGGAAGGTGATCGACGACGAAGAGGAGGTTTTGTTCAAGGACAGCGATGTAATCGTAGGGTTTGAAACCGTCATGAAGTTCTACAAGGGGCAGGCGCCGAACGGAACCAAAACCCCCTTTGTCATGAACGAATACAGGCTCAATCCTCGTGTAGTACCTGCTCATGTGCTGAATGAAAGCATTAAGACTAAGGTACGGCTGTAAACTATGTACAAAAGTTCTTGTAACATGCTTTTGTTTTAGGTTGTGAAGTTTTTGTTCTCTTTGTTTCAGATTGAGAGGTACGTGGTATGCCGAATTATAAACAAGGAGGTTTCGAATCAACCAGCAATCGATTACGGACAGGGATTGCTCGAACTACTGCAAAAATCGTCTGCCGGCACCGTTGAAGATGGAGTACCAAAGTGATGGGGCAGAAGCAGTCTAGTGCTTCATTGAAATAGCAAATGCAGCTCCTTCGTTTTGATGTTTTTCTTCTAGTGTTATATAGATATAGCAGAACATTAAGTATCCAATATTTTTGGCCTAGTATTTGATTTGGCACAAGCGATTTTTACCTAGGAAATGGTAGGAGAGTAATTCAATTGATATGGGATTTGTTTTTTGGCGAATTAGCTGTCGAGAAGATTTTTGGTGTCACAACTCACGTGGTATCCGCACTCATCATGTTATAACATGTCAAGAGAGTTCAGAATTCTAGTGTAAATGAATTCGTATAATTGCAAGAACTGTACTTATCGTGTTATAACATGTCAAGAGAGTTTAGAATTCTAGTTCAAATGAATTCGTATAATTGCAAGAATTGAAAATCAACTGGTATTGTGACCGATCTGCACTCATCATGTTATAACATGTCGAGAGAGTCTACAATTCTAATTTAATGTATTCAACCGAAACAACATTGAGAGTTCAACGTAGCGTAATGAATCCGTATAAAATTGAGAGTGTTCAAAATCAACAAACTACGCACGACCTAAAAGACTCGGCGAGAACATTCTCATTTAGATTATGACCTGTAGGTGAAACAAAGAAACGAACAAACAAATAAATAAAGTAAATGGAACTGTTTGAGAAAACATGACATGAGTAGAGGCTTTACCTATAAACACTATCTTGTTCGTCTGAGTTTCTTCCGTTTTCCAATCACGAGTGGGCACAATCTCATATATCTCCTTCACTCCCTGCCATTATCGATGAAAAAAGAGGTGCGTGAATAACAAGACTCAGTAATAGCACATAATATCAGCCGAGGACAATATGAAAACAATTTACCACATAAGTACAAGATCAACCCGCAAAGTAAGTAATTGCAGCATAAGACTAAACTTTTCAAGAGAAGCAGTCGCATAATTTGATATTGAACAGTACCTGCAAAGTATGTAATTGATTTGAATTATGAATGCTCAAAACCCCTTTGCAGCGGTATACATCCATGCCATCTTTCTTCTCCCAAAGAATCTCCTCAATCCACAAACGAACCTTTTGAACAAGACCATCAGACATTAATGACAGATATATATGATTACTGTTGATTTTCGAACAATTGTAGCAATGGGAAATAAGCATCCACTATCTCCAAGATAACAGTTTTAACCGCAGAAATCGTACATAAGTCATTACTGTTGGTTTTCTTTGGCTACGATATAGTCTTAGTTCATAAACAATTGATGTTAATTGCCAGAACTTCATCGACCAATCAATTTTCACATATGAATAAAATAATCAAACTTACAAAAATGTACTGTGATGAATGCTAACCTTTCTGAAAAGTTGTTAACACGGCACCAAAAAGTTAACAGTAATTTGATTTCAAACAACTCAATGAACTCATGTCATAACTATTTCACAAGAATACCTTTTCAAGATCAACCTGCTGTGGCTCGGAAATGCATAAAGTTCGCACACCACTATCATGAAGATCACTTGTAGATAGAGCACGACTTTCTTCCAATAATGATTCTAAATGGGTAGCATGCTGAGAAGGAAAAGGTTAATATTATTTTTCAGAGTAAAATCTGAAGATTATTAAAAGACAGGAATGAACTACAAATATAACAAAAAAAATGGAGATATGCTTGACTCACCGTGGCATCATAGGCTCGACAGTCCAATATATTGGACAAGTCAACTTGACCACGAACAGAACGAATGATACTAGCAAGAGAGTTAATACTATGTATTTCCTTCTCCAGTTCCTCCAGAAAATTGGCAGAATCCTCTGGAGAAACCAAATCAACCTTGTTAAGAATTATAACATCCTACAACAAACAACCAAACTCATAAGAAAATTAAGTGCAACACACACATACAGAGATAGACAACAGATAAAAGTAAGTCATAAAGAACGGATTAAGTAAGTCATAAAGAGACCATACCGCAAACGCAATTTGAAGATATGCTTCAGGAAATGAAGATGAACTTCGATTTTCACTGAGCTGAAAACGGAGGTTCTTGGCATCTACAACCTGTTAAGGATATTGAGGAATAAACCTTTACTACTAACTTCAAAATAAAAATTGCATAACTTCTCTAGAAAAAAGGACAGAACAAGCTCAGTTAGTATTTAAAATACATAAGACAGAACCGACAGAAGTAACATTTACTACCATGTCGTGCAGCTAACTAAGCAGTAAGCATTTACCAAAGCAAGTTCCAAAATTCAAATGGTCATAATCAATTTGGTAAAACTTTAATACATCACTGGCACATAATCCATCCAATATCAAAACTAACACAAATTTTGGAAACAAACTAGATAAACGAATCCGAACTTACAGTGATAATTGAATCAAGTTTGACAGACGATTCTAGATTATCATCCAACCACAGAACCGAAGCAAGCGGAGCTGGGTTCGCTAACCCAGTAGTCTCCAGCAATATATGATCCAGTCTACAACCAAGTCAAACCGAAAACCCACATCCCAAATTCCATCAAAATCACAATAAAAAGAAAACAATTTCAACAAAAGCAAACAAATTTCAATACAGTTTTCAAAAACCTTTCTTTTCTCTGAACAAGTTGCTCCAATGCCTGCACCAAACTGTGCTTAACAGTGCAACAAATACACCCATTTGCTAACTCCACCCACTCTTCGACAAGCGCACCGCCATCTCCTTCGTTAATCATCGCTCTCTCCACGCCAATTTCCTCACCAAACTCGTTTAATATCACAGCAATTCTCTTCCCGTGTTGGGAATTCAATATATGATTAACCAGCTGAGTAATCCCAAATCGCAAACCAAGAAAACATACTCAAAGCTCTTATCTTTTCCAAAAAATGGAAAAAATATAGCAAAACAAAAAAGAAGTGAGCTTACAGTGGATTTTCCGGCGCCAAGATAGCCGGTGATGACGGTGACACCGACCGAAACGTCGTCGTCTATGCGACTAGATGAATTGGGCTGCTGCTGAGAGTAGGGTTCCGTCGCTTGATCGATTTCAACGGCGAGAGGTGGAGCTTCTTCATCGTCTTCCATTTTTTTTCCAATCCCGGGAAATTCACAGGTTTAGGGTTTTGTAATCCCACCTCAGTTTGAACTTGAATTATGCTGACCCACTGGGCCAATATCTGGGTCGTGGGCTTAGTTTGGGCCTTCATGAGTAGAAGTTCTGCTTTCCCATCTTCTATGGGTTTTGTTTGTTGGGCTTCAGCCCACCTCTTAACCAAAATTAAAAACATGAAAAATAGGTGCAAATGCAGCTCTCAAAATTAAAAAATTTATAAATAAAAAAGTCACTAAAGTTACCGTCTAGTGATATTTTTTCATATTTATAAGTGCGATGTATCAGGTTCGACATATCTAGGTGGTAAGTTCGATAACAGATGGCGTAATGTGTGGTTTATTCCAAATATTCTCCAATTTCGTTATTAAAGAAAAACACACAATTTCACTATACTATCATATGTTGAATAAATTTTATGATTTATGACTCTTTTCTAAGAAATTATTCTTTACAACAATTTATGTAGGAGGAATATTCGAAGTCAGCTTGGGAGGGGAGGCAGATTCTCTGCCCTCCCACTTTCTGTGTCTTTCTGTTTTGTGTGGTCACAATTAAATCACGTCAACATTTTATATTATTTTTTTATAGAGATAATAAAACAAAAATGAATAGTAATATAAAATGTTGACATGGCTTAACTGTGACCACACAAACAAAAGGGCACGGGAAGTGGGAGGGCAGAGAATCTGCCTCCCTTGGGAGGGGCACGTCAACGAAAATGATGTAATATTATATTTTACATTCTGCATGGTCTTTATTTGGGATGGAAATATATTCTCTCTGGATCCCTTCCTTCTAATCCATCAAATCAGGAAATATGTGACATTGAAATTTGATCTAACGACTGAATTTATTATAACTTTTAAAGTGACCCCTTGTTTGTAGCCGTTAGAATTTCAATGACACATATTCCCTGATTTATTGAATTAGGAAGAAGGGATCCGGTCCCTTTCCGTTTAGGATAACTACTTGATGTGTGGAGAATAACGACAAGGACGATGCTTGTATAGAAGAAGACTATGCTTGTACGGAAAACAAATACAGAGTATGGAGACCATGAGGTTTATATTATAAAATTGTAGTTTGAAGCCACATTAAACCACTATTTTAAGTTAATTGCATTCACGAAGTAAAATTGCCTTAAATTAATTGACTTGCTCTTATGGTTAAAACATATTGCATTGCTTCAAAGTTCGAATTGCCTTTGCTAATCAAAGTTGACAAACATTCTTGACCATCAATAAAATTCCTAATTAAGAAAAAAATTACTTGATTGCTTCTAATCAATATGCCACTAGTCGATAATTGGCGTCCAAGACTTGTTTAATTGTCATCATCTCATTGATTACTGTTAGATAAATTTGATTCAATCTATATATTACATAAATTATGAAATTTAAACTAATATAACGGTAATTAATATGAAAGTGAGCATCAATACCACTTTAGGTTAGGGAGCAAAAATACTCCTAACCAATCTATTATACAATCAAATATGCGGAATCAAATATGCATGTCAAGCTGGCATCTGTATAGCTAAATAGTGAATATTATTAAAACTAAAGAAATAATATACTTGATGTATCGAGCTGTATTCATAAAGTTGTATTATTGACACATTAAAAAATCTCTTCATAAGTCACGAAATCGTATCAAAATTCAAGAGCATGCCATGAATAGGAGCCAACTGGGCGAAATGGCATCACAAAAAGGCAAATCCGTTTTGAATTTTGTATCGATTCTCACGCAACACTGTATTCCAATTTTGTTTGATTATTCGGTTAAAATGGACTTACCATTTCTGACCAAGAATCAAGGACATACCACCATCCATATTTTGGTACGGAATCCGATAACAGTAACTAGAAGTTAATTGTTGCTTATGTACCATACTTATCCAATCTGATTAGTTAAGCTATTATTTGTATCCTAATAGTGCAGATATAACACATCTTGTATTTTGCTATAGGTGTGTGGATAATATTACATACTTATCCAATCTGATTAGTTAAGCTATTATTTGTATCCTAATAGTGCTGATATAACACATCTTGTATTTTTCTATAGAGGTGTGTTATCCACACACCCATTTTTACTTCTCACACACCTCTTGTTAATTTATGTCAGTTAATATTTTTCAATTCATCCGATCTGA